AGTTGTCATGTAGTTTTAAAGCGCTTAGAACAGAATTGGATAAGCGCTATATAAATAGCATTATATTATTATTATAATGAAAACAACGCTTAAATTGAAAATTTGAAGACAATCTCAGAACAATAGTTCTAGGTAGTTTCAACTGTAAAAATACCATGTACATGCACATGCGATTCTGGCATCGACTGGATACATAGTTCATGGATTACATGGTGGTTACATAGAACACATGGTACTTTGATCAATCGTAGGTTGCAATTGTATTGGTACAATACGAACTATTTGGGCGAGTATTGGGTTATGGAGGGCATTGTAGACGATGCTGCTGCTGTCAGAGTTACCTTTGAATTTTACTGGCTGACTGTTTTGGGTGTAGTTATTGAGGGTGTTGACGGTGGAATTTCTGCATTCAAGACGGTATTCTTTTACCCAGTAATAGTAACCCTGTGTGGCAATGCCGTTAATCATTTTCACTTTAAGGAAATCGATCTGAAGCCATTGGTCTCTTAAGTATGTCCACCATACCTTAGAATTATCCAGGTGGAGAAAAATATATTATTATTTCATTGGCATCACACATGAAAATAAAATAAATTTCCTGTTTAAAACCGTGACTTAACATAAATATTCAGAAATGACATCCGTACTTTCTCGATCCGCATTGAGTTACGCGAAAACTCGACTAGAGTCTGTCGTTTAAAAAGATAAATTTAACACCGTAAAAAAGTAGGTGAAATAACTTACTGACGTTTCGGACGTTAATCATAATAAATAGATATCACACAAATTAAGTTTCGCATAAGCGAATCGAACTCATGGGTTCGAATCTTAATCCCCGCCCTTAAAAGTAAGTTTTCTTCACATAATAGGGAAATGCAGAGGGACGTCTATGTGTACATCAGCGCCGTTTACAGTCAAAACCATGTATGACAAATTCTTCTCGATGTGTTGTCATCAAAGGCAGGCTCCATGCACTGAGCTATTCTTGTGATTATAGCACTCAGACAGACCAAAGAACCGATTTCACCGAGACGAAACGGACGACTATGACCCCCGCCGCCTTATATAAGTTAGTTCCAATCGAGCAATGATGATAATACATAAGTACTAAGTATTCTAACCTTCGTCTTCTTTGCTTTCGTAAAGCTCCATTCTCAGTGCTATGGCACCAGACTTGTCATTGTCTTTCATGGGATGAATTCGTACATATCTTGCTGTGATGGCCGGCGCAAGATTGTGATAAACAATCGTGTTCCTGTCTGTGTTCCCTTTTAAGACTTGGCCATTCTTGTAAAAGGTGAATATGCTTTCATTGCTGTAGGAGAGCCGATACTTTTCCGTCCAAGACCAGTAGTCATAGCCAATGTAATAAGAGCCGCCTTGCGTGGCAATACCAATAATCTGTTGATAATCCGAACTTTTCACATGACGTAACAGCCGCCATATTGATGTACAACAAACTGAATATTTCTCTATGCCTCTATAGCTATGTACACCAGTATGGCTGCCACATATCATTTTGTTTTTTTATTTCTCAAAGTTTTCAATGTTTGGGCACTGAGACTGAAACCAAAAATATATCTAATTCCTGCATATAGTCAATCCAATTAACGTTGTTCACATAAAGACAACAACAAAATCATCTTTATATATCAAATTATTTTATAAGATATTGAATATCAAAATGTACAACGTCTTTGAAATGTCATTAACATCTAATGTGCTACTAATTAATCTTGAGATTTTCCCGAAAATGTTAGAAATATTATTTATGCATGAAAATGAAAAGTACTTCTTTAGCAAGTCAACAACATTTATTGGATTAACTGTAAGCAGTCTTAAAAAAGTGGAAATGTGACATATTCACACGTAAGTACATCCAGTACAAGCCTTTGATAAAACATTATATCAATTTCTTTTGGGTCACTGCAAAAACAATGAAAAGTATGGTCGAAAAAACAACCTCAGTGCAATCATTCCTTCGAAACTCAAAAGAAGTGATAATGGCCTGGGAACGAGATTTACTGGTGTGTATACTCAATTTACTACAGGAGACACTGGCGCCAGTGAGCGCTCGCGTCTTGAAATCGGTAAACAGAGCGCCTGGTGATTTACAGCGACAACACAGAAAACACTACGAAAAACCTTATTTTCTCAAAATAGAAAAGACAAGATAAAAATAGAAACTACATACTAATTAAAGGACCTATCATGAACAATGATTGATGGAAATATGAATCTTATATATCGGTGAACGAGCTTATAAATTGTAAAAAAAAACTTTCACAAAAATCGCTTTACAAAGGAAATTAGGCAGACTTCAGCGGGAAAGCTGTGGAGATGCGCAGTGCGTTTTTCACCAGTGTCACTACAGGGTCCAAATTAAGCTGCGCACATGCATGGAACTTTACCTTTGCAATCTTTCCCAAATTGATTTGTAACCAATCCCTATTACACGTTCTTTGATGCTCACAGTTTGCCCACCAACCGCTACGACCATTCAGACTTGCTTTATTAGCGTTGCCATTGTTCCTTGTAGCGGTCAAATAGTAATCAGAAATGATGGTCTTGTTCTGTATTCCAATGGCACCTATGGATAGATATCAGTGGATATTCATATGAGTATATTTAGTAAATAAACCCTTCTGGCGGCTGGGATATCGGCTGATAATGTCCGAGGATGAGAAGTGGTCCGAAAAATGAACATTTGCCCGAGAAGCGAAGTGTGATATTTTGAGGACTATTTCTCTTCCGAGGACATTATCAGCCGATATCCCAGTGAGCCAAGAAGGGGTTTATTTATTTTATATCCCAACGAATTCATTTTGTTGTGTTGAGGAAGAAAAGCCATCAAAGTGCAAGGTAAAATCTACACACGATGTGATTGGTTCACAGTAATTTTTTCATTATTTCATTGGTTAATCATTTGACAAGTGTTAAGAAGGAGGCAAAACTCTCTACTGATGCAAAAACTACAAATTTAATGCTGCGTTCAGCGTAAATTAATAGTCATTTTAGAAGAAAACCTCGAAAATTAGTGTCTTTAGTTCTTTTGCTTTTGACGTCTTTGGACCAATGGATGCGCGTAAAAATATATTGTTGCGATATATACGTTATTATCGTGTAACGACCTCCTCTTGGGATGAGCAACAACTTAACGATTCGATGTTTCCTTGTTTACATATAAGACAACAATGCTATAGACCTTTTTAGCCAGAAATAGAAGAAGTGGTAGAAATTTGTTGAATAACTTGATGGAAGCAAAGCTGCAAGCCTCGTGCTCGCCGTCGAAAAGAAAAATTCAAGGGATTAACCAATAATTTACCCTAGCTAGCACAACAACTTACAAGGTATTAAATTTTCCAGGGTATTTCTTTGGACATACTAGTAATTACCCCTTACATGGGTGTTGGTTACAGATCTTTTACCGAATTTAGACCACAATGCAAATGAAATTTCTGTCTCAGAAAATGCCTATGATGACGACTGTATTGTAACTCTGATACAACACTAGTGTTCAAAAGAAAATTAAAGGGATTAACCAATAGTCTAAAGGTATGCCTTTTCACTGCCACGAAGATTCTAGCCTAGATAGTCCAACAATATACAAGGTATCAACTTTTCCAGTGTAATTCTCTGGTCATAATTACCACTTACCGAAACATGGCTGCGGGTTACAGCTCTGTGTGTCGTTGTATGGCCCAGTACAATTCTTTCCTCCATAAGCAGGGGGTGGGTAGGTGCAAGAACGGTTTCGATATCTTGTTCCTTTGCCGCAGGTTAGGGAACAATTCGACCATCTGCCCCATTCGGTCAAATTGCCATCCACTGAAAGATATAAAGATTTCATGCGGAGATTAATGACATTAAACTTTGGAAACAACTCATGGAGTGAGTGGAAGGGCCGCAAATATTTAGCTCGAATTTCGCTCGTACAAATTACCGAAACAAAACGTTCCAACTCAAGTCAGTCAATGAACGTTTTTCCTTTGACACAATTTAGAAAAAAAAAAGCGAAAATTAGAAAAAAGACACTTGCCAACGAGCGGAAAAATTGAAAACGACATTTTTTAAAAGGATTTTCTTTGGAGTTCACGAACGGACCGATATACGGCTTTGTACTCCTTGCTCGATCAAAGTCATGCAGCCTCCATCATTTGACTTTCTCCGAAGCATTTTTACTAGCAAACGCCCGGGAAAGTGTACATTTCATATGATTTTTGAATTTAGTACACTCTTGTTCAATGCAAGAGATAGAAAAAGAGAAGGCAAATGTCTTCAAACATTGTACCTGGAATCGTGAAGTACACCGAGTCTTTGTTGGCGACTCTCATATGGGGCGTGTTCTCGATCGTCCAGCTGTTTAACTCACAGAGAGACTTGTCTCTGTAGTAGTTGATGCTTTGGCACCCTGGCTTTGCAGCACAGGTCCTGTAGCAGCTGTCGATATCACCGATAGTCAAAGTTTCCATGACATGGTTTACAAGCATTGTCCATAATTCTGAGGTATGACAGTCGGTATCAGCGATCTGAAGAGCGAAAACAGAAAGTATTCTGGGACAACACAATGGTATCTTACAAGGTCTTACAATATCGTGTTCAGGTGTTGCCTTTCAGCGATTTCTACCTAGTTTGGCCAACTGTAATCTGCTTATATATATTTTATATTTTATCAATATTATGATATTCTTATGTTTGCCCTTATATTATTATTTTCTATAAATTTTGCTTTTCAAAGCTCCTGAGAGAATGATTCTGAGGTTCTAGATATCGAATGTGCATTCTATTTTTCGCTGGAAATGACAAAAAGAACTCAACTTTTGAAAACGCGCAAATCAAAGCAAAACTGGCAGCTAGACCGTTTTTTCTTTATAACATCTGCAATAGCAGGAAAGTGTTCCACAAACTTAAATCAAGAAACTTGCTTAAAACAGGCTAAAATAAAGTAGTATCAACGTGATAAAATAGAAATATTATAAAATGTATCTTAAGAAATTCCTCTTTGGTTTTTGTGCGCACACGACAGGCCTCAGTTCGACATCGTCAACTTTTGTTTAAAAAAAATCAATTCTGTGTATAAAAACAGCCCAAATCAAGCACCCATACCCAAAAAACATCCACTGCAATCACTTTTTTAAAAACTCGTATCACGCTGAAGAAATAAAATCCACAGTGAAAAAAACGCGGACTCTTTAACTTACTTCCAGCTTAATGACTTCACGTGATCTACATTATATTTGGAAGTGCAGGACTTCCCTCTCTTGCCCTGATTTACTAATTAGGCTGCTTCCTAATTAAAGCTTTATATAGACGTCTTGTCTTCGAGCAAATAACTTAGCAAACTGTCCAAATTTTTGATAGGTCGATTGGTAATCATTTTCGTCGTCCATCTAAAATGATACCTGTTTTGTTTAGTTTGTAAGCGTTAAGTAAAGTTTTGAAAGTTTGCTATGAAACCGAATATCAAGAAGAGTGTTTTAATGAATATTGTTTATTCTCATCTCGCCACGTAGTCGACTCTCCACCAATGACAGCAGAGGAAAATTTGTTAATGAATTATAATACACTATAGGTCTTGTGCCAAGTTTTGAAAAAACTATGATAGACATCGTTTTAGTAAACCTAATTTAGTGATCTTAAAACATCCCAAAGGCAGAAATACTCCGCGTATGTAAACTTAACTATTTTTAACTGGCTTCAGACAAACTCGACAAACAAAGCAAAGACATGGCCAGAAATTCCGGACATTTGATCCCGGTACGAGTCAGCGGGTTTTCCCACCAAAATAGAGCTTTCTACAAGCTCCCTTGACAAGGTTTGAACTTTTGAAGATCAAATTTTCTACTCTCGTGCAACGATCCTTTATCTTAATAAAATACTGGGTTAAAGTCGAAACGTTCAAAACATCGACAAACGAGTATTGGGATAGCACGCTCTGATCCTTGAGTTCGTTAGTGGCTTGTGAGGTGCTCGTTTGGAATGTTCATAGTGTAAATAATATTATTTGCTGGAACACACGTTTGCCTCAGGTATTTTAAACAATGATCAGTTGGTATTCTAATCATTTGTTTATACTTGTACATTTCTAAGGAATTTAAAAGGTCTGACATTGTTTACACTAAATAGCGTAGACTTGATTGGTCTATCTTTCGCTCGTATTTCCCGCTATTTACCAGTGCCCGCAAGGCGCCAGTAAAAACCGCCAAAATTATAGCAGTCCCAGTCTGAAAGCCACGTTTCTAAGGTTGATTTTGGTACCAAACATAGCGAATAAAATGGAAATAAAATGGAAGATCGAGGCCAATTATTCGCGTGAAACACGAGTCTTCGCCAGCCATTTCACCGTCAAGCTAGTGTTTCCAAATTGTACTATTTTTAGTACCAAAAAGGACGCCGTTTATCGTCTTCAAAATAGCTGAAAATCGCTGTGTTTCTACCTCAATATGTGGACTTACGTATTTCTTTAAATTCTTGTCTTTTTTATAAAGCTATAAATACTTTTTAAGACTTGATATCTTACCATGAATTCTATTCTGTGTATAAAAACAGCCCAAAACAAGCACCCACACCAACCAAACATCAAATGCAATCTCATTTTAGCAACTGCAGGTATCACTGTAGAGGAAGAGTCCACAGTGAACAAAGCGGACCCTCTTGGCAGGTCTAAACTAACTTACTTCCAGCTGGTGTCAATGCCTGAATGACTTGACGCAATCGATGAGCAGGTTGAGTAATGATTGGCCCATTATTTTTAAAGATGATCGACTTCCTTCTCGTTTCCTGTTTTAATCGTCTAATTGAGGCGTAATAAACGTCTTCAGTAAGCAAATAATTTAACAAACTGTCAAACTGTTTCAAAGTTCGATTGATAATCATATTCACCTTCCATCTAAAATGATTTATTACCTGTTTTGTTTAGTTTGTAAGCGTTAATTAAAGTTTTGAAAGTTTGTTATGAAACCGAATACCAAGAAAGGAATGTTTTAATGCATATCATGTCTACCAAGCTATTATTTTATTCTTATTACTTCAATGTATTGTACAACAATTAAAATTAGAAATTTTTATTTCCCTATAGCATGAAAAGCATTTCATATTTTTTTATCTGTTGCTTTCTTTCATGTCTTTTTTTTTTTTCTTCGACGTGCACTTTTGGTCGAATCTCCACCGATGAGGGCGGAGGAAATTTTGCTGTTGAATCAATTATGATACATTATAGGTCATGTGTCAACTTTTTTAAAAAATATCATGAAGGTCGCTGTCAGTGGTCTTGTCAGACCGAGGGCAGTGTTTTCCTATACGGACCGACCTATAGTTGGTAAATAACATTTTTATTTGTATTTTCTGAAACTTTGCTCGCAACCTAGCCGTAGGATACCTAGGACCGGGCAGATCGTGAAAAACTGGACTAGGATAGCGGACTGGGAAACCGGTCCGAAAAAAATATAGGCAAATATGAATTTTCTTGTAGTTAAGCTTTTAAGTTAAAAAAAGATAATTAAAATTATTTTCAACTGATTTGAGACAAGACTGACAAACAGAGGATATATATAGGCATCCATACAGCTCAACCCTGATAGCGATTACCATGCATGCTATTTCTATATACAAACTATTTGGGCTATCATTGGGTTAATTATGGATGGCATAATCGACAATGCTGTTGCGGTCAGAGTTAACTTTAAATTTTACTTTCTCACTGTTCAGGGTGTAGTTATTGAGGGTGTTGACGGTGGGATTTCTGTATTCACGACGGTATTCGTTCAACCAGCGCCTGCTGTGACGCGATCCCTGTATTGCAATGCCGTTAAGAGCCGCTTCGCGCAAAAACCAGACAAAACTGAAATTTTTTGGCAGGGCTCGAAAAATCAAATCTATTCATATTTCGTATATTGGTAAGGTATGATTAGGTAACAATCGCTGTGCAATTGGTTTTTGAAAATATTTCATTTTTCGCAAGAAAATCGCGAATTCATGTCACATACTGGGCCTTTGCGTGACAGATGCTTGATTGCTAAAAATAGCTCTCAAAATAGCCAAACTTTATACCGAGTTCATGTAAAAACTAAAATAGCTATTTTAAAAATTTAAATTGCAGCTTTCTCACTAACTCTTTGATATTTATTTCAGTGATTTTCAGACCATTTAATTAAAAGGAAAGTTTTCTGGAACTCGAAATATTCGCATATGTATTTTTATATGCAAATTAGTACCTTTACAAAACGATCATTTTTTAAACGTGCAAGTATTTTGTTTGCAATAAAATTCGGAGTGATTACTAAACAAGAGATGAGCTTTTCAAATACATAAAAATTAGTCTGGGCAAATCACTCTCAGTTGTATAGAAATGAATACTTCTGGCGATAATAATCCGTTGAAACACCAAATGTTTTAAACAACCGAAATTCATCTAAATGGCCTAAAATGTTCAAAGAAAATATGATTAACCCTTTTTATTTCAATAACATACTTTTAATGTTGATTAGATGTTTATATCCTTTGAAAATTGTTGGGTTAATACAACTGACAAAATATGTGTTTAATATAATAATTTGACTGGAATAAGTCATTCCTACGCACCTGAAAGTGATTTGCCCAGACTTATTATTATTTTTTTGTAAAGCTCATGCCTTGCTTAGTTACCACGCCGAATTTCATTGCAAACAAAATACTTGCACATAGAAAAAATAATCTTTTTTTCTAGGTGCTAATTTGCATATACAACTACATATGCAAACACTTAGAGTTCTAGAAAATTTTCTTTTTAATTAAATGCTCTGAAAATCAACGAAATAAATAAGAAAGAGTTACTTAGAAAGCCACAATTTAAATTTTTGAAATTACTATTTTACATTTCACACAAGCTCGGTAGAAAGTTTGGCTATTTCGAGTGCTATTTTTAGCCACCAAACATTTGTCACGCAAAGGCCCAGTATGTGACATTGTTTAGCGATTTTCTTGCGAAAAATGAAATATTTTCAAAAACCAATTACACAGCGATTGTTACCTAATCATACCTTATCAATATACAAAATATGAATAGATTTGATTTTTCGAGCCTTGCCAAGATATGTCTGATTTTTGCGCGAAGTGGCTCTTAATTATTTTTACTTTAAGCAAAGTGATCTGAAGACATCTGCTACATTGGAGATAATTTTGCCATCTATCCGGGGTATATATATTATTCAGTGCTTTATATGGTTTAAAGTGTGAAGATGAAGCTGTAACCTGATTGTCTTTAATCATTGTACTTTGCATACTAAGTGCATACGAGCATACTCCTGGTGAAGAAGAGAAAATTCTTAACCCTATTCACGTCTATGAGCATGAAATTTTCACACAATGGTTGCCCACGTAAAACGAACCACCACATCCAGTCTTGGCCCGTGGGAACAAAATGTGACGTCAAAATGATGTCATTTTCACCATTTTAACGATTTATTATTCAATTTAATAAATTGTCTACAATTCCATAGAGAATGCTGCAATGACATCTGTTTATTATTGAAATGACTTGAAAATAACATTT